GCCGCGGTGGATGTCTGGTCTCCAGTGTCATCGAGCGTAAGGTCTACCATCTGTTAGACGGATCTCTTCCCCCGCCCGAAGCTTGGATGGATCGCTTGGAGGAGCGGGAGGTCCGCGGGCCCGTGGGCGACGGATTATCTTTTGCTGAAACCCTCAGATCTGCCCGAGTGCCCGCTGCAGAGCAGGGGACAACTGGGGTGGTTTGCCCTTTTGCAAAGGCTAGCCGCGATCTTTACTGCGCAACAGTCATGGCATCACAATGACGACATAAACTGCCCGCGAGCAGCGCATTAACATGCTGGACCCCCCAGGCATGCAACGCAGTGCCCGTGCCTATCATCCGAGGACAGGAAACCACCGCATACAGAAACGCACAATCAGAGCGCCGTCCTGAAAAGGACATGCTGCACGACTGTGTTGCTCTCTTTGTGAAGTTGCAACTTTATACGCACCGCTCTGGAGGACCGGACCCAAAGAACGCTAGGCAAGGGAGAAACCCAGCTCGACCGTCTGCCACTGTGTGTACACACTCTGGAAAGGGAGAATGCTCTCATTCGCTCTGAATCGCTGGATCACAGCAGGAGGAACCCTCATCGACTCGATCAGAAAGTCTCTGAAGCGAAAAGGATGGTGTTTGCTTGCTCCAGGTGTGCTTATATGGTGGGATAATTGGCGATGAAGCACACCTACGCAAGCTTACGCTGCCAATTCATTGCATTCATTGGCCCGTTCAATACTCTTTCAGACAAGCGGCTTCTGAACCGAATCCTCCCATACGTGGATTTTCCAAGATCAAATCCTTTGTATAGCACTGAAGTTCCCCAACCAAAGGGAAACTTAGCAAGTACATGTCAACTTACACTAACCCTAACCCCAACCTAAAAGTCTACTTATAATCTAATGAGAATAAGTTGGCATATAGATGCAATATACCTTAAATTCATCAAAACAAACTATGACCATATCTTTTAGATAAATTAAAATATGTATTTGTTTTTATTATCTTTATTATTGACTGCACGTATCCTTGAATGTATCCTTTACATCTATACTTCTATATGTACTGTATGTAACAAAATTTCATTCACTACTTACTGTATAATTGCACTACATAAAATAATGTTGTATTTTATTATTAATATAATAATTTATTTATTTATTTAGTCATGCTTTAATATTAAATAGGTAAAAGCAGCGACCACAAGATTAAAGACATTGCTAGATGTTCTAACATTTTGACCTTACTGTTAAACCAATCTTCTATTGTATGAAAGTATTTTCCAGTAACTGGATCTCTGGTTTGGTTACTTAAGTGAAACCACTTCATAGAGCATTATGCAGGCGCTTTAATATTAAATAGGTAAAAGCAGCGACCACAAGATTAAAGACATTGCTAGATGTTCTAACATTTTGACCTTACTGTTAAACCAATCTTCTATTGTATGAAAGTATTTTCCAGTAACTGGATCTCTGGTTTGGTTACTTAAGTGAAACCACACCACTCCATAGCAGAGTGAATAGATCAAAGTCAAATTCTGCTTCATTCCCTTGAGTACATTCAGAAGTACACTAAACAGACAGCTGTCAGTGACATTTTGTATATCTGTAAGTACCCTTCAACTTGACATCCATTACGGCTTAATTTACTTTGCTCATGACTGTCAAACGAAGCAGGCCAGAATATCTCCAAAATTGAGCTTGAGGCAAAACGGATAGAAAATGCATATTGTGGAACACATTCATGTGGTTAAATCTAACAAGGTGTGAAAATAATGGTTACAAATAAATTGAAAATATAAATAAATTCAGTTTGAATCCAGCCCTTGCAGCACATGATCCTTGATCCCTGAAACCAATATCTATCCTGACACTATAATATACAGTAGAGTTGTGCAGTGTCACATTGAGAGAGCGCAAAAGGATTTTGTAAATTATTTTCTTTGCAGTGACTCTTGTCATCGCTGCCACAGGATGTTAAATATTGCGGCTTCATAGAGCATTATGCAGGCGAAAAGGTCTATTCAATATCATGACTAGTGGCAAGGTTACACAATACTAAAGAAATATGAGATATTTATCTGGCTAAATATCTAAAGAGACCTGATGTTCATGTACAGTATAATGCAAATGAAGTGGTTTAAAACAATCAGTTAGTAAATATTTGAAATATGAAGCAATTATTTCCCAGGGATGGGTTGCAGCTGGAAGGGCATCCGTTGCGTAAAACTAATGCTGGAAAAGTTGGCAGTTTATTCCGCTGTGGCGACCCCAGATTAATAAGGGGACTAAGCCGAAAAAAAAAATTAATGAATGAATGAATGAAGCAATTGTGAAGAAATAAAATAAGATTTAATTATTAAACTGACTTGAATGAATGAAAGAAAGAATGAATGAAAATAAAATAGACATGTAAACTCACAATTACAAGAAAATATTACAATCTGTGAGATATAATAGCTACAGTAAAGTAATAATAAAAGTCCCCGTGTTCATGTGTTCATGTTTCCTCAGGGTGCTCTAGTTTCTCCAAAAAACATGTGCTATATAGGTGAATTGGACTAAATTGACTGTTGTGCAAGAGTGTGTGTGTGTGACTGTGAGGATGTATGGGTGTTTCCCAGTACTGGGTTGTGACTGGAACATCATCTGCTGCGTAAAACATATGCCGGAAAAGTTGTTCATTCCGCTGTGGCAATCCCTGATATATAAGGCACTAAAGCAGGGGTGTCAAACTCAAGCCCTGCACAGTTTAGTTCCAACCCTGCTCCAACACACTTACCTGTAGGTTTCAAACAAGCCTGAAGGACTCAATTAGTTTGATCAGGTGTATTTAATTAGGGTTGGAACTAAACTGTGCAGAGCTGCGGCCCTTTTGGAACTGAGTTTGACACCTGCGCACTAAAGCCACCTTTCCACTGCACATGACAAGCAACATGGCGGAAATCATTCATTTTCAATGGAGAGTAGTCACAGAGCTGCTTGGAGTTCCAATCATCTCCGTATGCGGAAAATTCAGATCCAATTTGAGCTGTGGATGCATCAAATTATTTGAACACCTGCGACTAGAGCGTTTACGACTGGCCGACAGGATGTGATGTATTCCAATGTTGCTCAAGCAGGTCTGTGCACGCAAGATGCAAAATACTTTTTTTTAAATTATTTTTTAAATCACATAAAAAATTTTTTTTTAAAAATCTATATTAAAAAAAAAAACATTTCTATTCATAAATGAATCGTTTCTTATAGTTTTTATGTCGTCTCTACATTCCCTCCAAAATTTTTAGCAGACTATGAGTTTCTATTATTCATTTATTCAATGCACAGAGAATAAAGGCTCTTGCTTTTGCACTCCTTTATTTCAGACCCTGTGAGAACAGCTTTTCTCCCATGGTGCATGGCAAAACTGAAAATTCTGTGCGACTGCCACAAGGAGGCGTATTCCGACAGTCGTGTCCAAATGCCATGCGCAGTGGAAAGGCGGCTTTAGCCAAAGAAAAATGAACAAATTAATAAATAATTAATAATAATAATACATTTAAAATGAAAGAGAGTAATTTTTTCCCTATGGATAAATGTTAGAATTGATAGATATAGACTTGTGAAGAAAATAATAGAGAAATATAAGTTTATTTTTTATTAAAAAATCTTATTTTCTGGGTGGAAACATATTGCTCTTCTCTGAACAAAGTCTCATTATTATTATTTTTTAAAATCCTTTCTGCTTCAAGCAATTTACCATCAACTACACAAATGTCAAACTCGTCTACTTTCATTTCAACAGTTTTTATGTCTCTTTTACTCTGCATTACCTTGTGTTCATTGTTCATCTGCCCATCTTTGGGCTCATGATACTGGAACAGGGTTAGCTAACAAACAAACAATTCCCTAGAGCAGAGCCCTGGCATTGATTCTCTGATAAGCGTCCAAGTGTTTTGTCTCAGTCTCATTTGTGATGTTGTGGGTCATCAACTGAAATCTGGATGTTGTGCTGCACAGAGATTTCAGAAGAACATTTGAAGGACACAATTTCACAATCCTATTGAAAAGTGATATAAATTATAGAGGACCTGGCATCATTTCAGTACTGTCAGAAGATGAACTTGAGCTGAACTCTGTCCATGATTTTCCGTGTTTAAAGGCTGTCATATTGAGAGCTGTCAGATGATGCTGGATCTAATGTTCCATTAAAGTCTCTGTAAAGAAAGACACTTTTACTTTGAAACATATATAATATATATGGGTGGATTTCATAAAACATGTCAAGGACATATGAGGGGCGTATTTCACCTCAAAATCAGAAGATATAAATTAGGTTTAGAACTGGTCTGGAAAAAAGAAGAGAAAGCCCGCAAACTAAAGAAAAATACAGAAATAAATAAACAAATCACTCAGATAATGTTTTTTTTTTAATTTAACCTTTCAATGACTATTCATTAAAATGCTTATTGCAGGGTATCATTTCCAATCTTTCATGTAGTCACATTATTTTCTTATATATTTTTTGCATGTTTTTGTGAATCAGACACAGTTGTTGATGATTTTGATTTGTAGTCAATTAGTTTGTAACCTCAGTCACTAATCCATCACAAAGTGTGAACACAACAACAACTGAATGCCCAGATAGTCATACATTGTGAAAACTGATGTAATCAGACAATTTTTAAAATCATACAGTGTATAGATTCAGCATAAATTGTACAATAATTTAAAAAAAATAGTTTTAACCTAATTAACATTGTTTAAAAAAATAATATATGATTGACTGATTCATTGATATGAGCCTATCATGGTTGTGGACTTTTTAAGTTTTCACTGGGATTGTGTGGGTTTCCTCTGGGTGCTTCGCTTTCCCCCACAGTCAAAAGAACGACAAGGACTTTAAGACCATGCAGTGACTCACAAAATGGTCACCACCAGTCCGCAAGAAGTCATTACTATTTCGGCAACTCAAAAGATGGCTTCCTGTACCAAATCTCTTTCTGTCATGATTTCTGTTCCAGAGATGCCATTGCCTGAACTCCTGTGTGGAGTTTTTAAGTTCTCCCTGTGATTGTGTTTCCTCCAGGTTCTCCGGTTTCCCCCACAGTCAAAAGAATAAGGACAAAGACTTTAAGACCATGCGGTGACTGACAAAATAATCACCACCAGTTCTCTAGTTATCATGATGGTCATCGCCATTTCGTCAATTCACAAGAAGGCTTCCTGTTTCATGTCTCTTCCTGTTATAGTTTCTATTTCAGAGTTGCCAATGCCTGAGCTACTGTGTGGAGTTTTAAAGTATCCCCTGTAATTTTGTGGGGTTCCTCCGGGTGCTCTGGTTTCCCCCACAGTCAAAATAATAAGGACAAGGACTTTAAGACCATGTGGTGACTCACTGAAAATAGTCACTGCCAGTTATCCAGTCCCTCAAGATGGTCATTGCCATTTTGACATCTTACAAGATGGCTTCCTGTCTCAAGTCTCTTCCTGTCATGATTTTGGTTCCAGAGTTTCTATTGTTTGAGCTATTGTGTGGAGATTTTAAGTTCTCCCTTTAATCGTGTGGATTCCCTTCCAAAAAAATAACTGCAGTGAAATGAAGTAAAACTGCAGAACAACTGCAGCACAACAGAAGTATATGGAAGTATAACTGCAGTAAAATTAAGTATTATTGCAAATCTGCAATACAATGAAGTATGAACACAATTCAAGTACAGTATATTAAAGTTCAACAGCAGAATAAGATGCAGGAATAAAAACAAGTAAACTCTTGTTTTTACTGCACTTGTGCTGCTGTAGTCTAATATGTCAATGGTGTAGTAGGAACTGTATTGCACTTGTGTTGCAAGGGATATTCATTATGACTGCAAAATTGCAGTATAATGATGTATCAACACAGTTCGACTATAATGCAATAAAGTTCAACAGCAGTAAAATCTGCAGTACAAATGAAGTAACATTAAATGAACTGAGTGGAGCAATATAGTGATATGTTACATAATTTATTTAACTTAGGTAAATAAGTATTACAGTTTCATTATGTATTTTGGTATTGTAGATGCATTTCTGTAGTTAGGTATATATCTGAAAAGTGCAATACAATATATTGTGGTAGTATTTCAGCAATACAACTGAAGTACTTAAACTGAGAGGGACAAGTAGTAGTTGTACTCCAGTTGTATTGTAGAAGTACTTCAGTTGTATTGCAGTAGCAGTACTGCATTATAGCAGTTGTAGTACTTCAGTACCAGTACCGCCAGTTCTCAAGTTACCAAGATGGTCATCGCCATTTCAGCAAGTCAGAGTTGCCAGAGCTGCCACTGCCACCAGTGCTATTACAGCCAGTGCTTCCACCACCAAAAGAGCTACAGCTACCAGAGTCATTGATGCTACCGACTGAGCTCAAAGAGTGGTGGGGCACCTCCCTCTTTTGTTCACACCTGTCTTGATCTATTGCTTGTTTATTTGGATCACACTCTTGTCTTACCTCTTATGTATGTAATAAAGCTCCATTTACAGTAGATCTTACCCCTGTCATCACATTTTGCTGTGCAACACCCATAGGCTGTTTGACTGACTGACTGACTGACTGACTGACTGACTTATTGATTGATTGATTGATTGATTGATTGATTGATTGATTGATTGATTGATTTGGAGTGAAATGTAACCTCCACTTGATTGTGCATAATTCATATGGAGCTGATAATATGACATAACTTTTTTGACTAAATTTTGTGATTTAAATCATTGACATGGTATTTAATCAAGCTAGTTTTAAAAATAGTTTTGCATTTAATTTTTCTCCCTTATATAGATTGACCATCTGAAATTTAAAACAACAGATTTTTAAAATGAAGCTTTTTATAGAGATGTATTTTGTTATATTATTAGCTCTATAAATCCATCCATGAATAGTTGATTTACAGCATATTCAGCAGCTCTGAATTGAACATTGGCCACATCAAGTGCACTTGCAGAATGCCAGCCAGCAGATTTAAACAGCATGGCCTCTTGTTGAATAGCTGTCTACTGTGATAATTTCACAAAGCTCCTCAGCTTCCCCAAAAATGGCTTGACTCCAGAAATAACACTTGTGGCTGAAGATTTTCATCTATTTTTCATAACAGAGATTGGGCACTCTGTCACAAAGAGTGTAATGCCTCTTCAACTGATACAACAAGCTTTTCACAGTGTTTACCTGTCCAGTCAGCCCTCTTTATAAACAGATAGTAGTGTTTCTGACATGAATACTAGTGGACTATACCATTTGACACTGACTCACAAGGCCAGATCCCTTTGGCAAATTTATTACACCTTTATTACATTTCACCACGTCTGACTCACTGCTCTGACCTGAAGCCTGCAGCACATCCCCTGAATGTTAACTCAAATACATGATGGTCATCTGTCAATGTGGGCAGAAACCACAGGGAAACCTCAGGGGACACACAACTTTCGGTTCAAAAAGCTTTTAGAACCATGTTGCCTTGAACATATTTGGCAGCTTGTTTCCATCATTGGACATTATCTTTCAGCCCCTGTATGTTGGTAATTCTAGAATTCAATCTGTATTATCCACCTTTTTCTGCATGTGACTAGTGTGTTTTAAGTTATGGGCTTCACTTCTGGTTGAGGAAGCTTTCTTTTTAAAGAAGTGAAACGAATCACGGCGTCACAGTGGCGCAGTGGGTAAAGTGTACAATTGCAAAAAGACTCCTGGATGCCCACCAACAAATGATAATTCGTCTCCCGCCCAGTCCTCAAATATGTCCCTCATCTCTCTAAGCTCTTCAGATATGTCGCACACATCCCATGCTGTGATGCGAGCAGAGCTATCTTCTCTATCTAGTGTCTAGTTGTGACCTCTCCCAGAAGCTCTGCATGTCTTCCGCAAATTCATACCAGCTCCGTGATCCCCCAAAATAAATTGAAATACCCGGAAATCATGGCGACGATTGTGAATAAGCAAATGAACAGATCGCGAGAGGCACATTGATGGTCAAAACAATACGTAGTATTGTAGTCAAGATATTGCAAGTGCGAATCCCTCTCCTCTCTCTGTAATTAAGAGATCTGCTGGAGATGACTAAAATATTATATAACTTCTTGTAATACACTCATTGCTATAAGAAGTAGTTTATAGACCTATTTCCTTTTAGTAAACAGGTATTAGATGTATAGATGTGAATTTTAACTAATTTTCATCTTTCATCATTTGCAATGTTTCCAAATTGCATTGTTTGTAATCTTTCTGTGGCGGTTAATTCTGCTTTGGTGACCACTGATAAATAAGCCACTAATTTGAAGTAAAATGAATGGATGAATTAGGTTCTATAAAGCTGCTTCTGGCGATGACAAATTCAAATCTACATTTTTATAAGAGACATGTTTAATAAATGTTTCAATAAATGTGCCAGACATTTCTGACTTTCCATACCAAGAGGCTCAGGAAATGTTCTTTCAGAAGCCCATAAAAATACATTACAGTGACAAAAGCTGCTCAATTTGTGAATAAAAAAGAAATAAAATAAATGTTAACTTATAATTTACAAACAGTTGTACAGTTCAAATAGTTGCTCAGTTATCTACTGTTAATGTCAGTGTGAGTCTGCGTTGGGCCATGTCGCATTGTGCCGCAGCCCCAAACCACCTCACCAAAACTGTTAACCTAGGGGAAAAACTGGGGTAGCATGATCACCTCACAGCAAGAAGGTTGCTGGTTAGGGTGCTCTGGTTTCCACCACAAGTCCAAAGACATGCGGTATAGGTAAATTGGGTAAGCTAAATTGTCCATAGTGTATGTCTACGAATTAGTGTGTATGGATGCTTTCCAATGATGGGTTTGCAGCTGGAAGGGCATCCGCTGCTTAAAAAAATATGCTGGATAAGTTGGCGGTTCATTCTGCTGTGTTGACCCCGGAATAATAAAGGAACTAAGCTAAAAAGAAAATGAATGAATGAATGATTAAAATGCATCGCTTCATATAATAAGACAACTAGGTCAACCCATTCTCACTCCAGACATTTTGAAGTAATCAGACAAATTATGTGTATTATACTACAGGGCGTACTATACCTTATTGTACTGAGTCTTTTTTAAGCATCTTACTGAGCATTTAGTTTAACAGACGCAAAGATGCTACTTGTGTAACTTATGCATTTTATCATGAGGTAAAGATGGAAGACTTTTAATGTTCACCTCACACCTAGTTTGCTCTACAAAAAAAAAAAAAAACAACTTAGCACATACGGACTGTTAATTTGTATAAAATATATATGGATATTTTTCCTAAAAAAAGTTAAATTATGGTGACTTCCGGTTATGTCGCCTTTGGTATAGACGTGAGTGCGATCAGCTCCCTTTAACTTTTTATTTCTTCTTTACAAACCTCGTTGGTTTAGAACTTTTTGGCAACCTACATTTATTTACTTTTCTCTCTTAGAGTACGTAGTATTAAATTTTCACTTAACATGTCGAAAGGAAAGGGCAAACAGGTGGAAAAAGACCGTGAAGCGCCGTCCTCGCCTAGCTCTGGTGTCACGCTAGCCGAAATTAGCGCCCTGCACGAGGAGCTCAGAGCCTCTCTGGCCGCGGATTTTAAAGCCTCTTTTGAAAGCTTGGACAGTAAGTTGGAGAATATTAACTCCACAGTCGCGGCTCACGACCAGCGCATCAGTTGCCTTGAATCGGGACTCGCGGAGGTGACCCAGCACCTTGAACACCTGGAGACCGCGTGCGCCGGCCTCACTAAAGAAAATGAGTGGCTGCGGTCTAAAATGTCAGACCTAGAGGGGCGCAGCCGGCGGCAGAATATTCGCATCGTGGGGCTCCCCGAGTCAATCGAGGGACCGCGACCAACTAACTTTTTCTCCGAAATGCTTGCTGAGGTATTTGGCGATCAGATTTTGGCGTCACCGCCTGAACTGGACAGAGCGCACCGAATTCCCGCTCCCAAACCTGCCCCAGGTCAGAGACCGCGCCCTGTGGTTTTGCGGTTTCACCGTTACCAGGTGAAGGATTTGGTGGTTCGTGAGTCCCGTAAAAAAGGAATTTCGACCTTTCGTAATCACAAGATTCGGATATTTGAAGATTACAGCCCAGATGTCCTAAAGCTGCGCAGTGAATTCAAAGATGCCATGGCGG